ATATGAGCAGATAATATTGCTCGAAACACTTCAGAATTCATCCGGCTGCTTTTGTCAGCAGTCACATCATCAATAAATACAAGAGAAGCAGTTCCATTGGCAGCCATACATGCCCACGCCATGACACTACCACCACCATGCTTCACTGATGAGGTGGTATGCTTAGGATCATGAGCAGTTCCTTTCCTTCTCCATACTCTTCTCTTCCCATCACTCTGGTACAAGTTGATCTTGGTCTCATCTGTCCATAGGATGTTGTTCCAGAACTGTGAAGGATTTTTTACATGTCGTTTGGCAAACTCTAATCTGGCCTTCCTGTTTTTGAGGCTCACCAATGGTTTACATCTTGTGGTGAACCCTCTGTATTCACTCTGGTGAAGTCTTCTCTTGATTGTTGACTTTGACACACATACACCTACCTCCTGGAGAGTGTTCTTGATCTGGCCAAGTGTTGTGAAGGGTGTTTTCTTCACCAGGGAAAGAATTCTTCGGTCATCCACCACAGTTGTTTTCCGTGGTCTTTCGGGTCTTTTGGTGTTGCTGAGCTCACCGGTGCGTTCCTTCTTTTTAAGAATGTTCCAAACAGTTGTTTTTGGCCACGCCTAATGTTTTTGCTATCTCTCTGATGGGTTTGTTTTGTTTTTTCAGCCTAATGATGGCTTGCTTCACTGATAGTGACAGCTCTTTGGATCTCATCTTGAGAGTTGATAGCAACAGATTCCAAATGCAAATAGCACACTTGAAATGAACTCTGGACCTTTTATCTGCTCATTGTAATTGGGATAATGAGGGAATAACCACACACCTAGCCATGGAACAGCTGAGAAGCCAATTGTCCCATTACTTTTGGTCCCTTAACAAGTGGGAGGCACATATGCAAACTGTTGTAATTCCTACACCGTTCACCTGATTTGGATGTAAATACCCTTAAATTACAGCTGACAGTCTGCAGTTAAAGCACATCTTGTTTGTTTCATTTCAAATCCATTGTGGTGGTGTATAGAGCCAAAAATGTTAGAATTATGTCAATGTCCCAATATTTATGGACCTTACTGTATATAAATTAATAAACCCACTAGCCCCCCCAAACCCAAATCTAAATAAATAAATATTATTATTATTATTTATTTATTATTATTATACAGGATTTATATAGCACCAACAGTTTGCTCAGCTCTTTACAATATAAAGGAAGACAATACAGCAACAATACAGGTAAATACAAGAGGGTTAGGAGCTTACAATCTAAGAAAATAATTAAACCCCTAACCCTAACCAAAAAATAAATAAATCATAAAATGAATTAACCCCTAACCAAAAATAAATAAATTAAATATACCCCATAACTCTAAGCCCACCCTGTAACCAGTAACCTTAGTAAAACCTCATTCCTAACCCAAAGAAAAAAAATAAAAAAAAAAAAATTTAAAAAATAAATGTATTATTATTTATTAATTTTAATACATAAATAATAATAATAAATAAATTAACCCCTAACCCTACTCTAACCTTAACCCTAAACCCAATCTCTAACCCTAACAAACAAAATAAAAAACTAAATTAATTCCCCCCCCCCCCCCCCCCCCCCCCCCCCCCCCCCCAATAAGTCAAAAATAAGAAATAAGAAAAGCTGATAAAAAAGCTAAACAAGCTGAAAAACATAGAAGCAATGAAATTGTTTTGTTGTCAAAAAATGCTAAAGCTCAAAAACGCTTTTAAAAAGCTATAGAAAAACATTCATAAAAATGAGCAACGAAACGCCCAAAAATTGCTAAAAAATGCGATGCTCAGGTGTGAATGCAGCCGAAAAGGCTCCATTGTCACTGGAAGGCTGCTATTGAAGAATTTAGGACCACCAGTTAGTTGTATTTAAATAATACTCTATAACTGGGAGGCTATCATTGAAATATTGGAGCTGTAGCAAACAGATATAACAGGGAGGCTGCTACTTGAGAAATTAGGGCTACCAAGTATTCCGACATTCTAATAGTTTAACTGCAGCTGCCCATAGCTTCTTGAGTGTATTTCTGAATCCTTGAGCGTTATTTATATACTATTGCTATTATCTCATTTGCACAGAGCCAGATAGCTAATTCTGTGCTACTGCATGGGTTTTGGTCACCTTCCAGTATATTAGTAGGTGAACAGGTTTCTTGCAATATGATTTATATGCAGCTCATATTGTTCTTGTTAACCCTGTCCCTTCTGGTCTGGGGTTCTAAAGCTAGTTTTAGCATATGGCTTGATATCCAGGATAGCCTAGAGCCAGGTTAGACTTTGTGGCCACATTGGGATCATAGGCTTAGGGGTCTGGTCACATGTCAGATTAGAAACTATTTGGGAAGGACTAAAGCATAGAGTAGATAGGCTGACTCTGCGTTCCAGTGTCAAACCACAGTGCCCTCCAGTGAGAAGCTCCATTCTAGGCTGGTTGGCCATCTTGGGCCATCTTGGGAAGGGAAGTAGGGTGTCATGGAAGGCGCACAGATGTGCGCGGAAGCAGGGCTCCTGTCAGCTCCGTTCGTGGCTTGCCGTCGGGTGTGCATGCGCGGTTGCGTGTGCGGGTGTACATGCACAGCGGAACTTTGGCGCCAGGCGGGCTATTTAAACTTAACTGGGACTCTGCCTCAATGCCATTTGGTCTTAACCTCTGTGCACCAATGTATCCTGCTACCTGTTTCTCTACTGCTGATCTGATCTGTCATTGACCTCACTGGAACTCCGCCTGCCTCGACCTCTGCCTGCCCTCTGGACTCTTCTTCTGCCTGCTGCTTCTGCCTTACTTGCCTGCTTGTTGCGGACCCGGACCGCCTGACCTTGCTTACACTGATACTGCTCCTGACCAGCTTACCCTGCCAGTATCCTGCACCTGGACATCTGCCTGAATGCCAGCTGCCAAATCATCTCTGCACCTCTGCCAGTGTGCCATACTCCAGCAGCTCCAGCGTTCCTGACGCACATCATTTCCACAGAGGTCCATCAGGCACTCGTGTACCTGGCTCTACAGGTTCTACCATCAGGTACGTGACATAGGGCTTTGTTATTAGCCCCTCTGTGATTGTGATAGCAATAAAGTTAAATGAAAAAAATGTAAAAAAAAAAAATATTTTAAAATAATGAAAAACTTCCCTCGCGCATACAAGCAAATGCAAGAGCACATGTAGGTCCGGCACACATATGTAAACCGCGATTGCACCGTGCATGTTAGGTATCACCGCATATGTCAGAGTGAGAGCAATAATTCGAGATTGGCTCTAAACCGAGAACCTGTGAAGGCTTTTAAAGTTTGTTGTCATTTCACGGCGTATGCAATTTGTAGTATCTATTTACTTGATGCAACATCATCTTTAATGTTATACCAGACAGTTGGGTATTATATTGTGTTTGTGTGCACTAAAATTCATTTTAGTGTATTTTGCTCCTGAACATATGATAAACAGCTGCGACATAAAAAAATTCCAACGGCCATTATTTTATACTCCAGGACCTCTGCTTTCAGGAAAATAAATAATGTTTGGTGGTTCTAGAGAGTTCCAGAGAATGGGGTTCTAGAGGGGCCCAGAGAGCACGTGGGCAGCATGTTGCATTTGGCAGGCCAAATCACCTTTGATCTCAACCCCTTTAAAGCGGATTACCACCCAAAAGGGGAAGCTCTGCTTGTCTGCCTCCTCCCACCCTCTGCTGCCACATTTGGCACCTTTTGGGGGGGATCCTGGTTTTGACAGGTACCCGCTCCCGCTTCCTGCTCAGTTCACCGCGGAAAGTTTGGTCCTCCCTCCTTCCCCTGCAGCCTTCTGGGGCACTTCACAGAGAAGACTGCAACCCATTCACAAAGTGCAGCGCACTTTACGCATGTGCAGTAGGAAACCGGCTGTGAAGTCTCAAGATTTCATTGCCGGTCTCCCTTAGTCAAGATGGCAGCACCAGCACCCGATAGCCAATTGAAGAATTGACTCAGGTGAGGACACCGCTGGATGCCTGGACAGGTAAGTGCCCTAATATTAAAAGTCAGCAGCTACAGTATTTGTAGCTGTTGACTTTTAATTTTTTTTGGGGGGACTCCTCTTTAAGTGTATGGTACTGCTTTGCAAATGCCTTACAACTGTCATATAGAATTGATTTACTAAAACTGAAAAGTGCACAATCTGGTACATCTCTGCATAGAAACCAATCAGCTTCCAATTTTCTTTTTGTCAAAGCTTAACTGAACAAGCTGAAGTTAGAAGTATAGCCTCCTAAATGCCTGTCAAGCATTGTGGATCACTTTTCAGAGGGGTGGAAAAGGGTTGCCATACATATGAACGAGCTCTAACTGAAACACAGACAGCATTAAAAACTTGGCAGGGGTTCACTCTGTCCAAAACTAAAATCAAAATGGTCTTTGGCTTTTGATACATTTTAATGTAAGTTTTTCTTTTTGACTTTATGGTTCTTTAACCACCTCCCACCCGCCATATAGTCCAATGACGGGTGCAAGGTGGTTCTCTTGTTCTGGGAGGACGTCATATGACGTCCTCCCATTCTCACCGCGCATGCGCGGCTCAGGGAGCACGCAGTGCGGCGATCGGCGTTGAGCTGTGTCCCACGGACACAGCGGATCACCGATCACGGAAAGAGCCGAAGATGTCGGCTCGGTCATGTGATCAGCTGTCTCCAATCACAGCTGATCGCATGTACACAGGGAAATGCCGCTTATCGGCATTTCTGTCCTCTCGAGCTGTCATGCTGACAGCTCGAGAGGAGAGGAGAGACGGTAATCGGCTTTCCGCGGAGGGGACATGTAGACTGGTCATCAGGGCACTGATGATCAGTGTAGCCCCAGCAGTGCCACCTGTCAGTGTCCATCAGTGCCTTGTGTCAGTGCTCATCAGTGCCTCGTGCCATTGCCCATCAGTGCCACATATCAGTGCCTACCAGTGCACATCAATGCCACATATCAGTGCCCATCTGAGCTGCCTTTCATTGTCACCCATCAGTGCCAGTCAGTGCCACCTATCAATGCCAATCAGTGCCACCTATCAGTACTGCCAATCAGTGCTACCTATCAGTGCCAGTCAGTGCCGCCTATCAGTGCCAGTCAGTGCCGCCTACCAGTGCGCATCAGTGCTGCCTATCAGTGCCAGTCAGTGCCGCCTAACAGTGCCAGCCAGTGCCACCTATCAGTGCCAGTCAGTGTCGCCTATCAGTGCCAGTCAGTGCCGCCTATCAGTGCTGCCTATCAGTGCCATGTATCAGTGCTGCCTTTCAGTGCCCATCAGTGATGCCTGTCAATGCCCATCAGTGCCACCTACCAGTGCCACCTCATCAGTGCGCATCAGTGCCACCTATCAGTGTCCATCAGTGCAGCCTATCAGTGCCCATCACTGCAGTCTCATTAGCGCATATCAGTGAAGGAGAAAAATCACTTATTTACAAAATTTTATAACAAAAACTAAGAAAAAACTTTTTTTTTTTCCAAAATGTTCAGTGGTTTTTGGTTTGTTTAAGAAAAAATAAAGAACCCAGAGGTGATTAAATAAGACCAAAATAAAGCTCTATCTGTCACAAAAAAATGATAAAAAATTTCATATGGGTACAGTGTTGCATGACTGCGCAATTGTCATTCAAAGTGTGACAGCGCTGAAAGCTGGAAAGGGGGTATAAGTGCCCTGTAGGCTAGCGGTTAAAGTTTAACATTTAACGCCAGACCGATTATCATTGGTTTATGATCTGACACTCAGACCACAGGCTGGAAATTGATGCCTTATTACTGTATTTGTTTTTTAGTTTATTGCCTTCAAATGTTTATGTTGTCTCAGGCAGGTGATCCATCACACACTGGCAGCTTTGTATCCTCTTTGCTTCTAGAGAAGATCCATTTTCGTAAATTCCTGTCACACAAGAAGAGGTGGATCTACAAGACAGAGAGGCCACCAAGCTCTTCCTATGACCACTCTACCAGTCCGTCATGGTGATAAATCAAAGGACGGCAGGGACTTTCCTTGACAAAATCTTGTTGAGAAAGACATTTGTGCATCCATTCAGAAAGGACGTTGGCAAATTGCAAGACGGATGAGGTCATCCATCATTGAAGACTCCCAACCAACAAGGAGATGTAGAGGCTAGCTGGAAAGGTTGGGTTTCAAGGTGATAACAGACGTGAGCCTCTTTAAAGAGCCAGTTCAACCAGTTATACAGAGGTCCTGGGCTGGTAGGATACCATTGAAATCTTCAGAATTTCTCTAAAACATCTACCATACCTAAAATAAGCCGATACTTTTGTAAAGGAGATCGTATTTTCTAATATGGATTTCAAGTGAATCCAAAACCAGTCTCCAAAAGGTCATTCATTTCAAAAGTGGGTTTCAAACTTTTTAATCTGTAGTTTTCATTAAAAGAACACCTGATGATCCTGCCATGAAGGTCATTGTTGGGACACGTCCTGTATGGGGTGACAACTGTCTCCAGTTGTGACCCTATCTTGGCATCTCGCCGCCCAAGAACAAATTGTGCAGGTATAGACCACTGTTGTCACAATTAGGAAGCCGGTCCAGAGCAATAACATTCAGCTAACCCTGCAATGGGGTTGTGTAGGCAGGAAGTGGCTGAAAAAGGTTGGAGGAGCTCAGCACCAGAGATGGAAAAACGTTTTTGGTTATTTCATGAAAAAAAAAAGCAACAGCAGTTGTTTATCATATACCATGCTTTAGAAAACTAAAGTTTAAATTCACACTACTGCGGCTGTGATTTGATCCAATTTTCAGTGCGATTATGTAGTGCAACTTTATTGCATTTTGGATGTGGTTTGCATATTCTTTGGGGCCAAAATCGTACTGGAATGGCACCAATGTAGTATAGGACAGGACACTTTTTTCCAAAACTGATTGATGGGAACTGGAACTATTGAAAACAAAGTTATTTCCATTGTCATACGTTTCTGTGCAACTCAAGTTGCATCTAAAATCACATTCGTGTCATCCAATAAGGGTTCTTTCAGACAGACGGTAAGCTTACTGCCCTCAGGAAAGTGATCCAAGGAGCAGGGGGCGGACTGACCATTTGGAAACTCGGGCACTGCCCGAGGGCCCGGGGTCAGTAGGGGGCCCCATGAGATGCCCCTGGTACCTTTTTCATAGGCATTTTTGAGTTTGGGCAAAGACACAGGGGCCCCATGATCCCCTATTGCCCGGGGGCCCCATGAGTTGTCAGTCCGCCCCTGCCAAGAAGGGAGGGTGGTATAGCAGTGACTGACAGACATTCTGTAGGCACTACTGGGGTCTACTTTTTCTTTTAATTGCCCAATAGCAATTGACTGCATTGCAACTATGAGCCAAGTACTTGGTTTGTGGTTGTGGTGTGGCCCCATTGATCTCAGTGGCCAAGTCTGACAGGCGGTACCACTTGTCAAACTCTGCAGCCCTAGTTAAAATGGTCATGACCGTGAATAAAAGCATCACTGCCGCAATATGTGTACAGCCCTACCAGGATGTAATGTTAGAATTTGGGTAGGTGGCCATAAAACCACAGATCATTCGCTAGTTTTTTAGCCCCCCTTCCCCAACCACCATTATGAATAAGCCCTACAGGGAGGTCTAAAGCTTTCTCCTGTCTTCTGGAGGACTCCAGAATATAGTGGGTTGGGTGAAGGCAAATCAGTAGACTGAATATTTATATTGTCTAAGCCAATCCCTGAGGGAGGGGGGGGGGTTGCCCAGTAGGTGGCTGGAGAGTGCATAAATAGTCTGGGGCTTGAGGCAGCCCTGTTGTTGTCCAGGAGGAGAGGTTCGCAGCCTGAAGGGCTTCTGCCCTTTTGGGCAGCCCAACTGAGATTTCTTCCTGCACTCACTGAGGTCCCAGCTGTGGCAGAGTGGGGGGGGGCATGTTCTGTTAAAATTTCCGAAGCTAAGCAGGGGATTTCTTGGCGGATCAACTCTGGAAGATTCACTAATGGATAGTCTGTCTGATATTGGAAGGAGGCATCCAAGTATCAAGGGACATTGTGAGTACAGTCCTGAGTGAAGGATCCTAGTGACTGTTGTTGCTGCTATCCCTGGCATGTCAATACTAGTGCTTGCCTGGTCTGGGACATTTCTGAAGGTGTCTACTCTTTTTTTGGCCCTTTGCTCAAGGAACGGTCCTGAGAGTGTCCTCAGTTTATTGCTGAGCGTTCATGGAGTATCCCACAGCTCCTTCTGCCCTATCTAAGTTATTCAGCAATACATTTTAAAAAGGCAACCCCTAGACTGTTTATTGAGCCAGAAGGGTGAATGTGGTGTGCCTGACTGCAATTGCACTAATCTGGGAAAGGAACCTGGGACGAATCAGCGGGCCCTTTCGGGGGAGAGCACTACATAGGCTTTTCATAAATCAACCTACATGCAGGTGTGGAAATTCTGAAATTACCTTTAGCCTATGTTTACGTATAGGGTACTGGTGTATGTAATGCATACTCTTCTTGGAAAACCCTCTGCTCTGAAATGTGGAAGTTCAAAATTCATCTCAATTCACCTGTTGACTGTAAGGGGAAGGAATGTGTACTGCCTCCAGCATGGGAATATATTACACCTGTCTTGCCTGCAAATATTGAATTTAACCATTAGATGGAGCCCGTAATAAATTTACTGTTTTACAGAAGCTAGAGACTGTTTAAAGAGTTAATAAAAATTCCCATAATTCTCAGAGAAAGGAAAGATATACATCTTGGGAGCTCAGACTCCATCTTAGAAACTGGGAGAGAAGGGGCCAGCTACCAGAGCACATGTTGGACTAAAACTTGTATCCTTTTAGATTTCCTAAAGGCAGCATCGCTGGTCAGAATCCCTTATCACCATCTATTGCCTGACTATTCATTGTGTTTTTCTGTACATTCTTACATTGATTATTTGTACTTCTTATCTGTTTTTTCTTAATAGTTTCACCCCACCCTGTTTTGTTAATAAAGCTTCAAGATTACATTCAGTCTGGCTTATTGCAGAATAGGAGGGTTTCTGTTATTTCAAATTCATTTAAATTCATTGCTATTGTAATTCAGAAATTCAGATACATCTGAATTTCCGAATATCTATTTGTCCAAATTTCGAATCGGTTATAAACGAACCACACATGTCTAGTAAAGCTTAGCGGTGACCCAGCCTCTCGTATCCCACGATCTATAGTAGGACCTCCTCGGCCCAGCATTGGCAGCCCTCTGTTCTCTTCAGTCAGAATGACATTTGTTTGTTGTTTACACCCCCCCCCCAGGGGGGCGCATCATCACACAAGCTGGGGTCATAGTACTCCAGGACTGAGCAGCTTTCATATGCCAGACCTGGAAGAACGCTCACCCCTGGAAGTAGAAGAAGTAGCTGCTATGATGTCACCAGACAGGTTAAAGGTTTTCTCTTCGGCCCAGAGCTGGTGGCCTCTGTTTTCTTCGGTCAGAACGACAATCATTTCTTGTTTACACCAGGAGTCTCCAAACTTTTTAAACAAAGGGCCAGTTTACTGTCCTTCAAGGTTACATGGGGGCCGGACTCTGCCCATTGGGATTTAACAATGCCCCATCTTTGTTTTTGGGGGGAAAATAGTTGGTGTCAGTAGGAGGAATAGTGCTCCATCATTGGTGTTAGTGGAAGGAATTTTACCCCATCGTTGGTTTCAGTAGGAGGAGTAGTGCCCCATGCTTTGTGTCAGAGGGATGAATAGTATCCCATCATTGGTATCAGTGGGAGGAATAATGTCCCATCATTGGTATCAGTGGGAGGAATAGTGTCCCATGATTGGTGTCAGTGGGAGGAATAGTGTCTCATCATTGGTATCAGTGGGAGGAATAGTGCCCCATCATTGGTGTCAGTGGGAGGAATAATGTCCCATTGTTGGTGTCAGTGGGAGGAATAGTGTCTCGTTGGTGTCAGTGGGAGGAATAGTGTCCCATTGTTGATATCAGTGGAAGTAATAGTGTCCCATTGTTGGTGTCAGAGGCAGGAATAATGCCTCACGGGCCAGATAAAGGAAAGCAAAGGGCCACAGTTTTGAGACCACTGGTTTACACCAACTCCTTTCCCCAGTAGGCATGTCACCACACAGGCTGGGGGTCATAGAATGTTCACATCTCATTGTGCGAAGACTGCTTGGTCTTGGCAGAAGGCCCACCCCTACCGGAGATTTTAGGAAAAGGGCATGTATAGGTGTTATTTTTTAGTTAAAAATAAAAACTGCTTCGGAGATAATGAAAAGCTGGAGTTCCACTTTAATTTTCATTTAGCATACTCATACATTGTAGAAAGTAAAAGCAAAAAGCTGACTGTAAGAATCACATTTCTG